AAGGAAAGGAGTAATAAGTAATGTTTTTATATAAAAATATTAAAAATGTAAGGTAAAAATCACCAGAGCAATTGCATGGGAAGAAAATACTTGGACTCGAAGCAATTTATGAATATTACCTATTCTTTGATTACTCTGATGGAAATTTATGCTATACTATTGTTATTGCTAATAATATCATCACTGATTTTTCTTTCTTTATCTTTTATTGTCAACATCCCAATGTCAGTTGATATTTTTGTGTGCATATATATTAATGAATTCACCTTAGTTAACAAGGTTCCAAGCTAAATTCACTCTAAATTCTTTATAGCTTATTTTACCATTGGATTTTTGATTGATTACAATAGCAGTATCAAATAACCAAAAGAACATTGGCAATTTGACAAGACATTCATCCAATAATCCAGTCTGATATAGAAAACAATTCATTCACATGCTGAGGAGAAAAGGGATGCAAAAAATCAAAGGGGTGGACTTCCATAGCAAACTTATTAGCCAAAATCGCCTCTCCTAATAAATGATCATTGTTGAATCCGAAATGCCAAAATAGTTTTTCATCTCAGTTGAAATTAATCTTATTATATAATTTCCAAAATTATATCCGAGATTATTTGAGCTCTTTAACTCAGTAGCAGAAATTTTTATGTGAAAAGTATTGTAAATCTGGAATTGCTTGCCGAAATTGATTTTCAAAACAATTTGAGGTGTTTTTAATATATTTTCTTGAATGCAGAATCCTAGAAAGTCTAACTGTCAGAGAGGTCATAATTTCTCATAACTGGCAGAATAAGGTATGGTTGCCAAGATATTAATTAATTGATTGGAAAAGAAGTAATGCTGATGATAAGAGACTTACATGCTGCCTTGTCAATATATAAATCTCAATTATGTTGGGATAATGAATATTTAATCCAAGAATCAATGATAAGTTTCAAATTTGCATTATTATTATTACAAAAATTGGTATTACTTCAATTACTGTGTGTTTTTCTTTCCTGCATTAATAATCTTTAAAGAAATTTCATTGCAACAAATTATTAATGAATACTTTTCCATATTTATTCACACATGACAAGGTAAAATTGATTAGGAAAATTATCAATCAATTAAAAGATATGAGAAGTATCATTTATTATATTTGGTGTTTGCAAATAATAATTATTGAAGATATTAATTTTAGATAAATTTATAAAAATGTATATTATTATATCACTAACTAAAAAAGTGAGAAATGATGATGGTGATGAGTTGTTTTTTTTTTTTGTAAGGATAAATGTCATTGGAATTAAATAAAAAGATTGTGACCAGAAGAAAAAATCTTCAGATACAAAGTTCCTTGAAATTTTTCACAATTAGCATGCTTTATTGGCAGTAAAACATCCAAACGTTATTTGTGCAATAGTTGGAGCTCCAATATTTTGTTTAAATCATTCTTAACAAGAACAAAAAATCTATTTTTCTAAATAAAATCATAATAATAATATTATTATTATTATTAATGATGATAACAATGATAAGGTTGAAATAGATCCTTATTTCAACAATCCTACATCTTGTATACTCTTTATGGAAAATTTCACAAGAAGCTTAATTTCAAGAAACATAATACACAGTTTTACATGTATCAAAATCTGAATGGAGGAAAACAAGCTCTGGAATTGTTAAATATTGAATGTTCCCATTCAATTGAGATATCAAATAAAAACAAAAAAAAAATTACACAACAAGATATCCTCAGGCCGCTTCACCCAATCCTCAGAATGCTATACATTCTGATAAATGGGGAAGAGTGGTGATATTTTTTGGTGCCAAGTGGATGTCGGGTTAGCTTTAAATTAACTGGGGTATTTAATAATGCATTAAATTTAGATAATAAACGTGGCCGCAAGGCTTCACTTTAGCATTAAAAATAAATAATAATAATAATAAAAGTGATAAAGAGAATCGGATATAAAAAGACATTCAAGTCATGATATCCGTCGTTGGGGTCATCTATGACCAATAGTCATACTAACTACGACTGACTATAACATGAAGTGCAGATCATTCGTTAGTGTGAAACCTATTACTATCTGATTTCATCGATTCGCCAAAATATTAAATGAAAAAAAAATAAAGTTCTAGGGCGGGTCCTTTAAGTCCTAGAAAACGTCATAGGCTTTTTTTAAAGAAAAGATTTGTAAAAGGTTATTTATTATATATAGTGAGCAAATGATATATTTAAATCAAGAAAATTTATTATAAATAATTTATATTGAAAATGTATGGAACCGAGTCTGGGAAAATCCAGTCCCGGTCTGGTCCTTCGAATAATAATAATAAAGTTTTACAAAATGAACAATTTCTTTTATTCTAAAATCAATAAAGGAATAAAATACAAAATATCATGATCTTGTGATTTATAGTTTAAAATTTTTCAATATGATTTTATTTCCATATTTGAAATAGTGAAGATATTTTATAATAAATATTTTTGCGGCTTCATATCAAATGAATTTATTTAGAATTGCACTATTAAGGTAAACCCTTTTAGTTGTTGTTTTTATTTATTATTTTTTGATATTTTTTAATATTTATACACATATGACAATTTTTTACTTATTAATAGAACGCGTAAATTGAATTTCATCACCGCCTATTCCGGCTGACCCCTGTGGCACAAAAATTTATTGGGTAAGTTGTGTGAAAGTCATGCAAACATTAACATTGCAATAATAACCAATAAGATTCCGCGCAGTCTGTCTAAAACTAATTTTGTGAGAATAAAAACAAGTATATTGTAAGTGTTGCATTGATAGTGATCTTGAGAAAGTACAAAATGTGGCTATCGGGACAAAAGAAATTAATCCCGGAAGAGAGTTGGGGGCAAATTTTATAAACGAATGATCAAATAAATTCTATTCAGATATTGATGTTCTGAGAATATGTTCCCCACAATAGAGAATAATTTTCTATTGATAGTTTCCATGTTACATATTGTTGCTGTTGTTCTTTTCTTTACTGAACAAATAAATAATAAATTAAAACAAACGAATGGTTTTGTGTGTTACATGAGATCAAAAATTAATTAAAACAGATATTTTTTTACTACGTAATAAAAAAAACGAAGACTAATATTTTGTTTTGTAAGCCATTCAATTGCATGATTTATGATCTCACTTGAGTTTTTTTGTTAACTTAATTTAGTGAAAAAAAATTTTATTTTTCATTTCATAATTGATCACAAAATCAAAAATCAACCAACAATACTAATACTGATTTATTTTTAAAATGATAACGCAGAAAATAAACTAATTAAAATATTCGGTGAATTTTTTTTTTGTTTATTTACTTTAATTTTATTTTATTTTTTTTTTGATTAGAAATTATCCGAATTTAATAAATAATAATAATAATAAATAAATTATCGAAAAAAGGAACCAGGAAAAACGAAGTTCTATTTATTTTCTCTATAAATGTGTATTTGTATATTGGACTTATAGTAAATCTTTTCCAATGTCTTCATTCTGTATTATTTTTAAATAATAATCAAATATAAATAAAAGATATGTTATTTTCCAATTCGCTCATTTTAATAATAGGTAATTTAGGTTGGTTGCATTTTAAAAATTAATAACTGTGTAACAAACAAGCTCAAACTGAATTTACCAAATCAAAATATATTTCAATGAAACTTTTGTCCAACGCAAAAAAGAAGTTATTGGAACTTCGTTATCCAACGAAATATTCGTAGGTTTTCTCAAATGGGAGACGCTCAGTCACTTTTTTTATATGTGGACATCTTGCATGTACAATCACATACTGTCACCATTTGTCTTTTGTGATGTAGGCAAAAGTTGTTCTCACCCTTGGCTTCACTCAAACAAAACGCCGCTGAAGAGGCTAATGGTATTGTGATGGGACTTGGAACAAAGTACCAATGGAACTCTAGTGTATCTTGAGTACTTTGTTAAAAATATGCAACAACCTTGTATCTGGTGTATAAATTACCTTTTCTTTTATTGGGTCTACATGGAAAAACATACTTGTGTTAATTGGTGGTTGTTTCTTTGCATGACAAGGGAAATGGATGTGGGACCATGATTGACTTGTACTTGCTTTCCCGTATGTACTGATTTTTATTACGTAACTTCAATACTGGGGATGTTAGGTGTTATTGAAAATTATTGAGTTAGCAAATAATCTCCAAACTTGCGCTAGTTACATGACTAATTTTCAATACTGGAGTCAAATGAACATTGGAGACAATGTTTAATATTTATTTGCTGAACCAAATGAAAATCACAGACAGAGTTGGTCTAGTAAAAATACTCATTTTATAGTTAGTGGATTAACACAAGTCTTGGCAGGATTACTAGAATTTCTCAAGGACGAAAAATATCTTTCCGTTTATAGTTATTTGTAGTTGTTAAAATTTAACCGTCTAAATTCCTTGTTAAAGAAGTGTACCTGAAATATTTGGTGTATTGACTGATGAATTTCCTGAGAAAATTTCTGACAAAATATAATAAAATTAAAAATAAGAACAATTTTCAATATTCTGGAGTTTGTATGGTACAGTTTAGTGACTAAAAAGGGTAATTCATCATCACCGTTTCAAGTTCTATCCAATATCTTCATTAAAGTCTGAAATTCTAGACTTTCTCTATTATAAAATTTGTTTTTTCCGTGCTTTATGTTGAAAACTCTATTGTTTCAAATTTAATGATGATTATTTTCTATTCAATTTGTTTGTCCCATCCGTGTTAGAGACTTTTTTTTTAACAAATGGAAAGAACTGAATTTAAATAAATTAATATTGATGCATATATGCAGCCCATGTATGATAATAATTTTCAAAACTCAATTTTTAAAAAGTTGTTGGTAAATATTTATTCCATGTTACACGTATTACATAATCATTACACAAACATAAAATTTATATAAATAAACGATTCATACACATTCATTAACTAACTAAAAAATCCAAAAACTTTAAGAAATAATCGACAAATATAATGGGAAACAGCTTTTCAAATGCAAAAAAATTAATCAAAAAATTTAGACCGCTAAACCGGAATCTTTATGTTAATAATGATAATAACTCTTTAAATTTTTTATCATCGTCAACGTCGACATCATTCGACAATAATAAACGCACGGGAAGTGGTAGAAAGAAATCTAATAATAATCGCGGCAACCCTCCAAACTATGTTTGGCCTATTGATGAAAAAGAGTTGAATAGGTTGAAAACGCAACATTATTGTTTTAAAGAAATGTTTGATAAAAATTATTCTGCTCCGATTCAAAAATTATTGGAAAAAGGTGGAAAAGGTTTAGATATTGGGTTAATATTATTTAATAATAATAATAATAATAATAATAATAATAATAATAATAATAATAATAATGTTTATACATAGTGTACTACTATTATTAATCGATAATATTATACATTGTTCATTTGATTTTATCTCTTGTATATATATATTTAATAGTTGCGGGCCTGGATTATTTGTTTTGGAAATGGCATCTGAATTTAAAAATTCGGAATTTATCGGTGTCGATTTCTTGGAAAATTTTCCGAAACAGACCTTACCATACAACGTAGGATTCGTAAGGGCAAACGTTTTAGATGGTCTATCATTTCCTGACAATAAGTTTGATTACGTACATATCTGTTGTATGAATTATTCTTTTACCGAAAACCAATGGATAGATATCGTGGTAAAATCATTTATAAAATTATAAAATTATAAAATTATTAACTAATAATTATAAAATAGTGCAATAACAATATTATTTATTCTAGATCCCAGAGTTGGTTCGAGTGACGAAACCAGGCGGATGGATAGAATATTACGATATGGGCCCGTCGGTTACAAAAGCGGGTCCGATATTTATGAGATTACACGAAGCACTCGATAACTTATTAATAGAGAGAGGACTAAATACTCAATTCGTCCATAAAATAAAATCAACCCTGCAACGATATCCAAACCTTCAGAATATGGAAGGAGTGCTCAAGAAACAACCGATCGGCAATTGGGGTGGAAAGTTGGGCGAGTTGAATTTACAAAATACGTTGGAGTTTTTCGACGTTATAAAGGATCTTATGATTAATGCATTGGGAATAAACGAACCAGAATATATGAGGCTTGTTAAAGAGTTGGCCAAAGAATTCGATGAGAACAAATCAAGAATACATTTTGTTAGAGTCTTTGCCCAAAAATTTGAGCGTATAAATTAAGCACGTATAAACTGAATTTTTATTGTATTTCTTTTTGTATATTATTTGTTTGTTATATGATGCGACTTCTATATTATACATATTATAATTTAATAAGATTTTGTAATTTTTTAAGAACCTTCCCCCATTTTGTAAAATATAATTCTTCTTGAAAAATTCGAATAGATCTTCATTGTTTTTTATTAATTTAATATATATAAACATTATTATTATATCAGGTTATATTTAATTAAATAAACAAACATGCACAAATAAGTTTCTGGTTTTTTACTTGATTAATCTGTTTTTTAAAAAAAAAATATGGAAAAATTAAATTTTGTTATCTATCTCTCCCCTATATGTGTTGTGTGTATACACATGTGTGAAATATTTTTCTCGATCTGAATTTATTTGATTGATTCAGAATCGTCAATTTATTTCTTTAAAGATTGTTTACCATTATTCAATAACGTTGTGGTTGGTCCTAAGAACCAATGGTCCGACGTTCGCCTTGAGACTGGGCTGGTCTTGGACCAAGTATTTTCGTAAAATTGATCCAATAATAATAATAAATAATAAAAATATAAAAAAGACGAGAAAAATTATCTAGTTGCTTTTTCTTTTTTTTCTTTTTTATAATTATAATTATATTTTATATTCTAATAATAATAATTTGATTGTTATATTTTTAAATTCATAGTTGTATATTTTTTATTAAATAAAGTCTTGGTATTAGTGTTGTTGTAATTGGGTTTCGGATAATTTCGTGTATCACAAAGTACAAGATTTTTAATATTAATTTTTTTTTATTTTAGAACATGATCATCACCACAAACAAAGAAGTATTAAAAATATTTATCAAGCTAATTAACAAATAAATAAATCTATATTTCTATTTTACATTTAATCAAGAGCCATATTAATTTTATTTCTGGAGATTAATTTCAATAGCAGTGGCAGCTGGTACACCTTTATTATTGATGTAAAGATAATGATGTCTACCTGGTGGCATCATATTACCATTTGGTGGCATTTCAACATCTAATGCAAAAACTTTTTTAGCAGCATTAGATATTAATGAGGTTTTTTTGATTTTTGTAGCAACATATCGTTGTGACATGTGTGTTGAATGAGTCACAAATCCAAAATGTACTAATGCTCCAGTAAAGTTCACATCGGTGGTGGTGGTTTCTACTAGAACCTTGACGACTTGATTAAATTTAACAAGGATTGCTGTATCTTTGTTAAGTAAGGTTTTGCCTGCTACTGATGTAATTTTGTGGCCTGGAACATCTTTAAAAAAGTATGGTGGTGTGTATATTTGATTTCTATATCTAAAACAATATAAACAATATAAGATAATAATGTAAGATATTTATGATAATTTATTATGATAATTAAATATTTAATATAATTGTATATTGTTATATAACTTACTCAGTTGGGAATTTAAGCTTTTTATCGTTCTTAACAAATTGATTGGGATTGCTACCGCTGATGAAAACTTTACCATTAGGAAGTAATGTCGCAACAGAGTGATACATTCTAGCAATACCAGCATTTTTAAGACTAGTAAATCTTTGGCCGGCTTTTGCTTCAGGATCATAAAGGACTGGTGTGGTGGATGGGTTATCGGCTACTATTGTAACCGTATTATTTTTATTGAACTTATCTGTTGTTATTAATTTTTGTATGGACATTGTTAGTTAGATATCAGATGTTAATATTTTAGATTATATATCATATATATATATATATATATATATATATAATATATTTAGAACATATAGATCTTTTTACACATGTTTCTCTAAATACACATAATACTTACTGTAACCAGCAATACCTTTACCGGCACCGTTCAAGTACATGACTTTACCATCAGCTAAAATAACACCATCAGGCATAATACGAGGAAACCCGCCAAAATCTTCCATCTTCCAATCAGCTTTATTAAGATCTGAAAGATCAATAGTACCACAAGTATTGTCAGCGACAGTGTTAAAGTTCGTACCCTTTCCACCACCACAAACCATTACTCTTGATGCATAATTCTTCTCAGGACGTAATGGCAAAATGACCGATGTACCAGTAAATGGATAAGATCTTGATGGTCCAGGAAGATTTGGTAATCTCTTTACAATTTTATTGGCTTCCCAATCCCAAACTATGGATTTAACATCCGCAAATACAAATAATCTTTTTTGATTAGCTGGTCCAGATAATAAATGGACAACTGGATATAAATTTCTTGGCAACCTTTATTATGTAAGAAAACGTGCGTGAGTGTGTATGTACGACGTATGTGTGTGAGGGTATATATATATATAATGTATAAACTTACGTTTCTTGAAGGAAAGGGAATGGTTTAGGGGTACTCTTTTTGGATGGAAAGAATTCAAAAGTAGGATTATTAATATCTGCGTTATTAATACCAGTAGCTTTAGTTGAACCTCCAAGAATAAGCACTCTTCCATCCGAAAGTCTATGAATAAATAATTTAACAATCAATGAATGATCGATCGATCGATTTCAACAATGATTAATTAATATATACGTACGAAACCATTGATGGATACCACCGTTTTGTAGATAATCCATTAACATTTTCAGTCCATTGACACTTTTTATTTTGACATGGCTTGAACAATCTTATACTTTGAAATCCATCTTTATGTTGTGTGTTTTGCTATTATTATAATAAAGTTTTTTCTTTAATTCAATCAATTAAATTTATTAAAAAGATATTAAAAAGATGATAAAAAAAAAATTAAAAAATGTTGCGTACTTCTGCACCAGTTCCACCAGTATGCACTAAAGTCCCATCACTAGTAAAAGCACCGGCGGAGCAAAAAGTATTTGTTTTAAGATCGAGAACTCTTTGTGTTTTTTTGCCAATGTCAAACTCTGTTGAAATTGCTGGATCTCCATTTTTTTGTTTAAGTGGGTTCTTGTTAACTAGGAAATGAAATGAAATTTACGATTTTTTTTTCAATTGTTAAAAAAAATATTTTTTTGTTTTTTTTTTTTTTTTAGTAAAAAATTTAAATCATTAGATTCATTTACCTTTATCTATAAAAACAAGTCTATTCGGTGCGGTCAAAACCATATGCATAACTATAATTTATAATTCATTGTGGTTAGAAATATTGATTTATTACATTAAAAATTCATTTTTCTGCAAAGAAAACCAACCTGCTACACCGGAACTATTATTTTTATCATTGAAATTAATTAATTGATTGATTGATCGAGTAATTGGTCAATTAATTAACTAATAATTGATCGAAAAAGCATCAAAAAGATATATAAATTAGATACTAACGTTCCGGCCCCTTCATAAGTTCCGGGATCGACATTTAATTTAGCTTTAACTGCGCGTTCTATTAATTGTTATTCGTAAAATTAGTAAATAATTCTTAATGATTGATAAATTAAAACTGCAAAATTAAAGAAAGATAATAATTAATTACTTTCAAGAAGTGGTGATGCTTCGACATCGTCTCCAAATAATGTCGAAATGGCTACAAAAACCGATAAAATTGGAAGTGTTACTTTCATTATTATTTTTTTATTTTATTATTATTAGATTATTTTATTTTGATATATATATGTGTGTATGTAATTTTTTTTTTATAAACAAAAAATGATGGATAGATGAATTATGAATAATTGTGAACGAAATATTAATGTGTATTATGCGTATGTGGGCGAATGAGAATGAGCGAGGTATAATGAGCAAATGATAGATAATGGAAAAGATGGAAATGCGAAAAAAAAAAGGTTAGGGTAAAATGAAGGAAAGGGATTTGGCACTCTATTATATTATATTTTTCTATTTGAATAGGCAACTTATAGGAAGATAGCCTTTAATTATGATAAAATAATTATAAAGAATGAAATGAAGACCAAAGAATTAAAAATAAAGTGAAAGAAAAAAATTAATTCCAGATTTAGCATTGCAAGTGGTTTAAATATAAAAAAAGAGACTGAAAACACTCATGCAAGATAATTAACACAGTATGGTTTTTATTATTTAAATCGGTATATTTTTAGAATTCTCCGTTTAATTAATTAAATTGGTGCAATATTAAATTTATTTATATGTGGTGTGATCTGCGAAAAAATTTTAATAGCAACCAGGAAATACGACATTATTATTATCATTCGATCAATTAATTTTCTGCCGTTAATATTGAATACGTTTTCTAACTGGGTTAAATAATGCTTGATTTTTCTTTTTACGTGCAGTGTATTATACACCCACGAATGGTTTTTAATAAAACTTGTAATTTGTACAGAAAGAACCGTTAAGTTTACTTACTATACCTTGCCTTGTTGCTGATACAATTAAATCTTTCAGAAATTATTATATTTTATATGAAAAAGGATCATTCAATAATTTATTGCAACATTTCCGAATCTTCTATTTTGTTCTTATGATCGATTGCTTACAGAAGATGATGCTACACACACGATTCTTCCCCTGTCTCACAACTAAAGCCAGGTTTTAAATCTGTATTAAGCCGAAAAACTATCCGCATTAAGAAAATGACACTTTTCATTCCTATTCTGTATGGTAAAGCTTTGTTTTTTTGCGTTGGAAATTACACAAATAAGTCATTTCATAATATATATAATATCAATTCGAAATTAAAATAGCTGCGTGAAAATGAAAATTTTTGTCAAACGGGAAATAGTATTAATATGTAACTTTGTACCTTTTGTGATTCGGAGTCTTGGATTAATTGTTTAGTCCGACCTTTTAACACATTAATACTAAACATGTATAAAATGGTGCTAAACAAAAACGGAATTACTCTAAAACTTTATTTTTTTTTTCCCCCCAAAAAAAAAAAATTTCTTTTTTTCTAAAGTTTTTTTCAAAATCATTAATCAAAAACTTACATACAATCGAAATAATTATTAATTCCAATTAATCTTAACCAAGTTATAATCAACATTTAATTAATTATGAAAGAATTGTACATTGGAAATATTAATTTCAGGGCCACTGAATCACAAGTCGAGCATGTTTTAAATGAATTTAGTAATTCTAGATTAAAAAGTTTCAGTCTTATTAGGGATAGGGGATTTGGATTCGCTTTATTTGAAAACGATGAAGATGCTGATGTGCTACTTGAGGCTTCAGAAAACGGAATAGAATGTATGGGCAGAATATTATCAATCTCTCCCTCAAGAGGCAAAAGAAAAAGTGTAAGAAATGTAGAAGATGGCCTTATGTCTTCTCTCGAACCATCTTTTGAAATTGAAAGTTTAGAATTGGGTAGATGGGGTGGTGGAAGACGACAGAAAACTCGAAATCGGAATAAAAAATCCAAAAGAAATACCGACTTTACTTGGACATTTCTAAGTGCCTGGTCATATAATGATCAAGGCAATGATTTGATCAGACCAACTTTACAAGTGTCAGACTACAAAGAAGCATTTATAATAAAAGGATTTAGACTACAAGGGGATAGAGAGTATAAAGAAAAACGGGTAAAGATATTATTTAGATCATTGACAAACAAATCACACTCGATCGTTATTGAGAAAAATAATGACACATCAGAAAAGGTAACTGTCTATATTACTCTTAATTACAGTCCAGAACTATATCGTCACAAATTTGATCAAGAAAAAACTGATGAAATATCGTGGGATCTCAGTTTCATCTTGTCAATTTTGGATTCAACTCGAGATGAGTGGTCCAGAACTACTGATTGGACAAAGGATGTCAATGCTTTTGGAAACTATTTGGTCTACAAAATGGTTCTTAAAACCAATTTTCAAAATTTTCAATCAACTTTCAACAAATTACCAATTCCAGGGACGAAAGAAAGTTTCTTGCAGTGCAATGTAAAATCAATAAAAATAGTTGATGACAATTCTTACCTGGAGAATCATGTCTATAACATTCTACCTTTCGAGATATCCTATAAACTAGAGTGTCTGATGTCGCGTGGTATTCTGAGTGCTTCAGAAATTCATGAGCACAAATTTGGGTACAAATTAAAAGAGACATTAGATCAAGATAAATTTAATTATGTGTGGCATGCACTTAACTATATGAAACATAGTTATTGGAATCCGGGTTACGAGCATTACAACGCTAGGCCAATCTATGAGTATGATAATGCTCTCAAGAATTTTAATGGTGAACCGCTCATCTGGCACCCGTCGAACCCCAAAATAACCATAAAAACCAAGGACAGGTATGCTTGGGTTTACCACGCCTACATCACCCCTACTAAAATATATTTTGAGGATCCGACCTACGAACAATCCAATCGTATATTGAGAAAATACGAGGAACACTACGATAGATTTTTGCGTGTGACATTCGTTGATGAGAATGAAGAGAACATATATATTAGAGATGGCGAGGTTGATATTACAAAAAAAAGGATCTTACAAAAGTTGAAACATGGTTTTAAAGTTGCTGGTCGCCATTACCAATTTCTGGCATTTTCCTCATCACAACTACGCGAATCATCTTGTTGGTACGTCTGCAACAAAGAAATATGCGGTTTTACAGCAGACCAAATTCGTAAAGAGATGGGTGACTTTAGGTATAACGGGATTATATAATTACAATTATCATTATCACAGTTATTAGTTGGATTATTTTTTATTAACATAATAGTAATATTATTAGTATAATAAAAAATATTTTTCATTTGTAGTTTAATAAAATCACCTTCACTGTATGCTGCTCGAATGGGACAATGTTTCACAACTACAATTAGCACTGTGACAATTCCAAGTGACCAAATCGTAAAAATTCCTGATCTTGAAATCACAATTAATGGCAAAAAACAAAATTTCAGGTAAATTTATTCAAATCATGTTGATGAAATTTAATTTTGAATATGAATAAATTTATTGATAAAAAAGATTTTTTAGTGATGGATGTGGAAAGATATCCATGGACCTTGCAAGAAAAGTAATTAAAAAGTATATGGGTGTTCGATATATTAAAGATGAAGTCCCTTCAGTTTATCAAATAAGATTTGGGGGCTCAAAGGTGATTAATTTATCACAATCGAATGATAATTAAAATAATAATTAAGAAATGGATCAGTGTTAAAGATTTATATTTATTCCAGGGAGTGGTAGCCTTAGACAACACATTAGAAGGGGAACAAATTTGCGTGCGGCCAAGCCAGAAGAAATTCGAGGCACCGGATTCATTGGATTTCGAGATCGCTAAAACGGTCAGAAGTCCATTGCCCGCGTATCTAAACCGACAAATTATATTATTATTGTCAAATCTTGGAATTCCTAATGGAGTTTTCCTGGACTTGCAACAAGAGATGATAAACAACATCAACTTGGTGATTAATGACCGAGAAAAGGCCACTGATGTTGTTAGACATAGTTCGGGTACGAAGGAATGCTCGCATGTCATCAAAACTATTCTTAGCATGCTGGATGATGTTAGTAAATACCGTTATATTATTATTTTATCATACTACATTAATTAATTTTTATCATTAATTTTTATCTATGAATGATTGTATTATATATGAATATAGGGTGTAAATATAGAAGACGAACCATTTTTGAAAGGTTATTTAGAATGTAAAAGACTTTTTGCCCTAAATAATTTACGTTACAGGGCACGAATTTTTATGCCAAACGCGTATTTGTTGATGGGTGTTGTGGACGAAACCGGAATTTTAGAACCGAACCAAATCTATGTCCATACGTCCACTATTGTTTCCCAACACAGAACATTTAAAGGGGATCGTAATAAAAAGGTGAAAAGAGAACGTAAAGTATGGACCGGTCCAGCTGGTAATATTATTTATGATTATGATTATGATATGTGTGTGTGTGAGAGTGATAAATAATGATTTTTTCCGTGAAAAAAAAAAGTAATTACAAGAAATCCCTGTATGCACCCGGGTGACATGAGAATTGTCGAAGCAGTGGATGTCATAGAATTGGAACATTTAAAAAATTGTGTGGTGTTTAGTCAGCGTGGAGAAAGACCGTTACCAAATTGTTTGGTAAATATAATATATATTTTTTTTAATTTTGAGAAAACAATTAATGAATTTAAAAAATTATTACTTTTGTTATTTAGGGTGGTGGAGATTTAGGTAAATACATAGATTTATTACATAGAATATATGAAATGCAATATTTTAATGTGCTAAATCAAATATATAAAAAAAAAAATTTAAAGATGGGGATGAATTTTTTGTTTGCTTTGATGAAAGATTGTTTTTCCCTGAAGAGTCAATGTTTGAACCTATGAATTACGACCCTCCTGGAAGAAAAGAAATCGAAGAAACCATCAATATCAATCACATTTGCGAATTTTTCGCAGATTTTTTAATAAATAATAGATTGGGTATTATTGGTAATTTACATCTAGCATTTGCTGATTTTATTGGTTTAGAAAGTGAAGAATGCTTAACTTTGGCTGATTTAGTAAGTTGATTTTTTCTAATTTTTTTTTTTTCTTTCGCTCTTGTTAAATATTTTTCATGCTTTCCGCATTCATTATATAGCACTCCAAAGCTGTGGATTTTAACAAATCAGGAATACCTGTTACTGATAAATTACCGGAACTGAAAAATTATCCAGATTTTATGGAAAAAAAGGTGAAAGAATCATACCAATCTCAAGGAATATTAGGTCTACTGTATCGTAAAATACAATTAACCAAATCAGAAGATGACCCATTGCTCATATACGACACTGTATCTGGATTAAAAGTAAACGAGGAATATTTATATGAAGGATATATGGGTCACCTTGAAAAAGCTTTACATTACCGTAGTCAATATAATCGAAGTATAAGATCGATTATGGATAAGTTTGGTGTACAAACTGAACCAGAAATAATCTCATCGAACATTCTCCAGAAAATGAATGGGCGGAAAACGTACGACGTGAGAGAGAAAATTTCTAATGAAATATCACATATCATTTACGAATTCAGAATGAGTTTTAAACAAGAGATTACCCTCGACGTTGAAAATAACGAAGAGGACAATGATGACGATGATAATAATGATAACAATAATAATCATTATGGTGGTTCACCTTTTGATTTCCAAGTGAGAATACCAGTGACAGACGAATCAAAAGCTCTGGCCTCGGCTTGGTATTACGTAACATATAAGCAAAACGATGATGAATTCTATGATGAGGGGAGAGATGAACGAGAAGAGGATCTGTTGTTATTAAGTTTTCCATGGGTAGTATCTGATTTGTTGTTAAAAATTAGAGAGGAAAACCTTAATATTAATTCATAGTTTTTTTTGGTGTAATTTTTTTTGTATATACGTGTATTATAAATAAAATGTATAATTCATATAAATATATTAAGAAAAGTCGTATGTAAACAAATTATATTATTGAACAATAGCTCGCTTTAAATCCATTCCAATTGTAATTTCTCCACCACAACGGCCAAGCTATTCCTTAACAATTATTTGAATAATTAAGATAAGATTATGAATGCTATTAGCAAAGTAATTCGAATCAAATTTTGAATCTGCTGGCTATGGCATACACATACCATTTAACGTTATTTCTGTCGAGTATTTAAAGTCGAATTATTTTTTTTTAATACTGCAGCAATTCGTCCATATAATCACACACTTATTATGGAAAAAATTATGTTAATATGCAAATCATACGCTAGCCGTACACTTTCTCTGGTGATAAAATCTCATTTAATGTTACCAGCATTTTTATTCGCCTTTTAGATGTATGAAAATTTTTTTAATCTTCTATACTGTACGGGACTCTTTAAGAAAACAAAAAATTGTCTCCAATAATTTATGGTCGTAGATAGGGTTCCTAACAGTAATTCTGACTCCCTATTCGAATATTTATTTTGGATGCTCGTAATGATTTTGGATGCTCGTAATTATTTTGGATGCTCATTATTTCAGATATTTGTATAAATTCTAACAAACTATTATTAATTTTTTTCTTGTTCTTTAATTGATAAAGTTTCTTTTTAGACATCATCAATTTGATTGTTCATATCAAAAAATTATTTAATAAATTATATCATCATATAAATCAAAAAAATTACCATTTTTCATCAGGTGTAAGAATATTATGACATTTTAAAAAATAAAATGATTTATACAATTGGTAGTCCTGAAATGTTAGGAAAATTTTTTTTGCAAATTCCATTTGGGTTTTGAACAAATATTTTAATCTTTGAAAAATGTTTTATAATATATTATGTGTTTTACAAAAAAAATTAGCAATTATTCAACAAAATTACCAATTTTTTAGAAAGTTGAAAACATATTATTTTATTTATATAAACTTTAATAAGAAATTCTTTCTCCATTATTTTCAATTATAAGTGCACATCTGTTTTTCATTGAATTAATAAAGTTAATTAGGAGGCTATTTGGAATTGCATTCCACTCTTATATCATAAATTGTTGCAACTCAGCTAAATTATTTGGCATTCATGATTCTGTGTTCCTTTTGACAATAACCCATAAACTTTCGATGGGATTCAAGTTGGAGTTATTGCCGATCAATTACTTTTTGGAGCATTTTCTTTTAAGAATTCTTTGGCAAGACAACTTGTATGCTTGAGATTATTATCTTGCTGCAATCCCCAATTATTCTCAAGCATGCTGTTGATTTCTTGAAGATGCTTTTCAAGTATTTCAACATAAAGTTTTGCGTCCATTATTTGTGTAAAACAAAATAAACTTGTTTTCCCCTAGCAGAAAATCCAGCTCATGTGAAAATTTTTTGTCTGTTTTTTTTGGAGTGGTCTAATTGGGAATAGACCTCTATAATTGTCTTCCTAAATAATTGAAATGCAGTTTCATCACTAAATGAAGTTTTTTCCACTAGTCATTAATGTGTTTTTTGGCCTATTCAACACACCTAGCCTTTTAAACTTCAGTTAACATAGAAGTACCAATTGGTAACTGGTTTTTATAACCCAATTCATCCAAATGTCCTTTTATTGTAGCATAATTTATATTTACAGTTCACTCTCTCTGTAACGGCCCCCTATATAACGGCCCCCATTCTATAACGCACTGTAAACCAGAAACCAAATTTTTACTATATAAAAACCTTACTCTATAACGGTTTTCTTAATTAAATTTCCTATAGTGTATAACGGCCAGCCTCTGAAAATTCTCGTTGTTTTATATGAGACGGCATCATGATCTGAGGTAATCATTACCAAATTAAGAAATTCAGTGCGTCACACTCAATTATTAATATTAATAATTTGAACGCGCAGTACCCGTTGATGCCAAGGAATATATTTAAAGAAGCTTCAAACAGTTTATTATGGACAATCCTTAATGACATTGTCAACATTAATAATATTAATTTAAATTTTGTTAAAGTCAAGGGTCACAGTGGTGACCATTTTAACGACAAAGTGGATGAATTAGCCAGATTGACGCATGGTTATAATTCATTACCAATAACTTTTATGTTATTATTATTGGTCCAATTTTTATTTCACTTCTGTTTATAAAAATTTGGATTAATGGGGCAATTTTACATATAAATGGCTTCAAAAAACTTAAAAATTTCTTCGGTTTACGGTTTATAAAGTTTTATTAGTGACATTCATATTAACGGGGTAATTTACATATGTTTGACTTTGGTGTTTTAAAAATTATTCATTTTAACGGGGTTTTCGGATTAACGGGGTTGCCTATGTATATCAAAGTATTCAATTTTTTTTCTTGCTAAAGTGATCGGCGTGAACAATTGCTCACGCGCACGTGATTTTGATGAATCTGCATGATTCTGTATATATTATATTTTTCTTTTTTATTAATTTAATAAAAAATCTATTTGTATTATTATAATAAAAAGCAAATACATTGCTTTTACGTTCAATGTATAATAGTAACTTGTGGAATTTGTTTTGCAGAAGGGTACAAATAAAATTAATTAAATCTTTTGATTATAATTTACATAAATTAAACTTATAATTTAAATATATTTTTTTACAAGGATAAAAATTAGTTTTGTGCTAAAATAAAATCATTTTTTTATGACCTTTAGCTCTATCGAGATCTTTTTGAAGATCTTGCTCTTTTTTCTTCAATGCTAAATATGTTGCTTCGATTTTATTTACATTTTCTAGAAAATGTTTAGCCATTGTTGGATCTTTTTTGTTTCTCTGATATGAATCTTTTGCCTTTTGTAATTCTTGAGAAGTTTTATTTAATTGTTCTTGGATTTGATATAGTTTGATGTTATTATTTCTTGATCCTGATTTTTGACGAGATGAATATTCTGATGAATTATTGGTAGTTGATGTTGATTTAGAATTTGATATTATAACTTTATCAACACTACCATCAACATCAACATCATTGTCATTAGAAAGCCGTAATGATGTCTTATTATTATTATTGGTCGATTTGTTAAGTGAAACATTTAAAAAATCAAAAATGTTTGGTTCAGCTTCTATATTGCCATCAGGACCAAATTCTATTGATGCATCTTTTCGTGTTCTACGACGTCTGTGGGTTGTAGAATATGGGCTGTCAGATTTACGTTGTTGATGACGACGTTGTTTTCCTGGATTTTTATCCTTTTTTTTATCGTCAATGTAATCAAGTGAAACGCCTTTATTAATTAATTTTACTTCAATCGGGTTAACAATTCCTTCGCCATTTTTACCTAATCCTTCACCCTAAATTGTTGAAATAGAAATTAAATGATAATATATAAAAGTGTGTGTATATATATACATATATATATATATATAAATATAGCATACCATTTTATAGCCCATTTTTATCATTAATTTAGAAGCAAAACCTTTTGTGTGTTTTTCCCAATCTGCCAAACCATCATTATTATTATCAACATTTATTTTGGTTAATTTTTCGTCATCATCATTATTATTATCATCATAAGTATAATCAGAAGATTCATTTGAACTTGATAAATCTGTTTCATTATCATCATCATTATCATCACCATCATCATCATTATCATCATCATCACCATTTTCATCTAATCCTTGAACTGGAATTATCTCATCATGACTAACTGTTACTATTCCATTATTTTCATAACCTTTAAATTTTACTTTAAATCCTCGACCATTTGAACCAATTTCTACAAGCTTTGCCATATACCATACATTATCTTTATTATATTTGGCCCAAACTTTTTTACCAATTTTGTATGAATCTACACCACCAGCACCTAAAATTTCATATGGTGCCAAAAGTTCCAAAGTAACCTCCTCGCCATGTGAAAAATTTTTGGAACATAGTTTAGCAGTAGTACATTGGTTAGCAAGAAAATTTTCACATATCCTAGTGGATGATGTTATTGGTGTTAATATTAAAACTTTACAAGTATTTTCTTCTTTATTAATTGTGAGAATTATTGCTGGAAGAAAGTAAACTTTTTGATAGTCTGGATGGATAAATGGAATACAACACTTTCCTCCAATATGCAACAAATCCTTATCTGCACTCAATCTCATTGAATGATCGTCATTATCATCATTATTATTATCCGTTAATAATATATCATTAGATTTTTCAATCACCAAAATTTCTTCATTTTTTGAGATCTAAAGAATTGTATAATATAAATTTTTTTTTGTAGGTTTGTTGATCAACACTTCCATTCTGATGGGAGATTATATATATGTGTGTATATATATATATATAATATTCTTACCACTTCTTCTTTTGAAGATGTTTCAGGTTGACACCCAATTAATCTGAGCAACTCTTCTTTTTTCAACTGTAATAATTTCTCCTCTTGTTTTGATATAAAAAGTTCCAAATCTTGAGCAAGTTTTTTCAACTCTAGATCTTCTGGACTTAAAAATAATAGATCTGTAAGTTCTTTAAGAGATTCCTTATTTTCTCTAATGGAAACTTCAAGATCTGAGACAGACATGCTTTTTATTATTATTTTATTATTTTCTGATAGTTGTTTTTATATGGGGACATATTGCAACTGAACAATTATTATTATGTCACATAAAAATTTCAGGGATCAATGTTGTGATATTAATTGTCCCACCTGAGCACCAGGTAAATGTTTATTTTTTTCTCTTTTACTTTCTTATATATAGGATTATTACCATTTAAAAATAATTAATATGAACATGGAATTTGAAAATCGTAGCACAATTAAAAGTATTCTGAAAAAGACAGGATGAAAAATTGCGCCTTATATTTTTAAATTAGCGAATGTTAAGTCCTTGCGAACATATATAAATAAAAACATTAACACAAAACCGAGAAAAAAAAAATAAGGATAGAACGGCAATAATAAATTTAGATCCCACAGTCCAAAGCAAAAAAGTTCTCAACAAAAAAACAAGCTGATAATTCTAGTTTCAAATCAATCCTGATCAGTTGGAATGTAACACAAAATTCGTCAATTAAAGGAAAGATCAAAAGAAAAAAATCATACTTATTGGCACGCTCTAGATGTGACGATATTTTTAATATGGCATCATCAAAAAACGCCCGAGTACGAGCATAGGTTCTAGTATCTCGATCCTTTTCTCATGGATCCTATAAAAATTATGAATTGAAACTGAATCGTGCCGTTAACTGAAGCCAAAAAAAGGTCGGATTTGCATGTATTGTTGATGAAATCCTACTTTCAAATTCCGAGGTAAAGTCTGTTGGTTTCACGCAACTACAGAAAGACAAAGGTTTTCTGAAAGCCGATTTTAATGCGAAAAAAGCCACGGTCTATTTTTTTTTTTTTTATTTGTAGAAGGAATACAATAATGATCATAAGATGGGTGACTCCATTTGAACTTCTTATCGGTGAATCATTGGACACCCATGGTGTAAAGGCAAAAAGTAAACATTCAAAAGACGCCAGGAAAGCATTTCACATGTTAAAGGCCAATATGGATATATATATATCTTACCATGGAATTGCCTTTATCATTTATTCTCACTACATTTGTTTATAACATATCCGCTAAATTGTTCATTTGAAAATCTAGTAAACACGGTAGAGTCATTAATTTATGATGGACTATGTCGAGTTTGGTATTATTTAAAAACCAATATTGTTAGATAATTTTTTTTTTTTTGTGATGAATAAAATTAATTTGCATACTTTACATTTTATAATAAAAAACTAACCTTGCAACCAACACTATTTTGTATTCGATATGTATTATCTATTTTATTTTTTCAAAATGCTATTTGAGTTGGTGAAATAGTAATCCTAATTTTTTTAAAACTTTGATCCCTGAATCTTTTATGTGACATAACGTAGTTTTACTTGAAGATCATTACGGATTGTATTACTATATATTTTTTTTTGAGAAATGGATTCAGTATCAAATAAAGGTAAAAATTTATTCTTGATATGATTAATTATGATAATAATAATAATAATTTATCATTTCTAGATTAAAATTTTGTAATTTAGAAAAAGGATCAAAAAGGAAATCAGAAAAAAAGGCCAAAAATAGTGAGGATAATAATGATAGTGAGGATGAAAATATGAGCATTGATGAGGATAATGTAAAAGATGATAATGATAGTGAGAATAATGAAAAGGATGACAGCGAGAACGATGATAATAATGAAGTAGAAGAAGAAGATGATTATGATGATATTATTTCACTTGGTCAAAGTTAGTTTCTTCTAGTTCATATTCGAACACATATACAATTAATACAATTTTATATATATATTAATTATTTTATTATTTAATCATTTAATATTAGAAAGAAAACGAGCAACCAAAAAAAAAATTACGACGCCAACAGAATTTGCTTCAACAATGAATAAATTATTATCAAGTAATCTAAAACCTGCAGATCAAAAAACACCAATACTTTCCAGATCTAAAAGTATAGCAAAAAGAATTGACGAAGAAAAACTTGAGTATAAAACTCGTAAAGCTATAAGTGCAGAGAAAAATAAAAATTTAATGAAAGATCGAGTAAAAGTTGAATTAGATATTGAGAAATTGGATTATGAAAGAAATTTAAGGAAAATTGCCACTAGTGGAGGTAATAAAAAAAATTTGTGTATGAGCGTGTGTGTTGAATAATTATGATTTATTTACTAAATATAATTATGTGTCTTCTTGTCAAGTTGTACAATTATTTAATGCTATCAGAACATCGCAACAAGCCACTGATGAGGTAATTAAATCATCTGGTGGTATACAAAGGTTAACAACAAAAGCAACAAAAGATGGTAAGAAAACTATTTATGTTATTATTTATAATTAATTATTGTTGTTGTCTATCATCTATTAATGATTTTTTTTTGAAAATCGTTAATTGAATGTTTACATTTATACAAATAGTTACATCAATGTCAAAAGAAACATTTTTAGATATGTTAAAAAATGGAAAAACCGCATAATAATGATGATGGTGCTAACGATGTCTTGATCAAATACATTTTAAAAAATGTATTTTTTTCCATTATTATCATAAGTCTTTAATTATATAAATATTTTATTATTACAGTTAGAATTATTATCTAATAAAATATTAAAATTCGGTAGTTAGTTAATTAGAAAAAAAAAATAAAATAATAAATACAAAAAAAACAAAAAATATTATATTTTTTTTTATGGTAACTTAATTTGTGAGAAATAATATTTTACATCAAAAAAAAAAAAAAATTTTTTTTATTATTCACATATATATATATATATCATACATACATACATACATATATATGTATATTACAGAACTCCCAAAGGATCATCTACAGGAGCGGCAGGAGATGCAGTATAATTAGATTTTCTTGCGTTGTTTATTGCTTCACTTGTTTCATGGACATCAACTTTTGATGAGTTAGGTGTTGTTGCCCCTAACGGGTCAACTTTTCCAGAATTAATTGAATTTGAAGTTGTAGTAGATGTTGCAATCAATGGAAATGGACTTCTTGATTTAACATTTGTAGATGATGATGGTAGTGGTGATGATGGTGGTGATGATGATGGAACAGTAGACGATGCTGCTGCCGTTGCTGAATTAATGTACTTTTTAAAAGATTCATCATCAATATAATTTTCAATGTTTAATGATGCAAAACTTGAAAGACTATTTATACTAGCTATACTAGATCTTTTTGGGTTAAACAAAGAATTATCATCTTCATCAATGCAACCTTCAATCATCCAGCTGTATTTGGAATTTGATGCAATGGAAGATTTTGAGAATCCGGTTGGAGAATCATTATCTACATCATTTAGGATATCTTCTAGTTTAAGTCGTGATTTTGGAATAACAACTGATGCAGGTCTTTTAAAATTGGTTTTTTGTTGTGAGAGTGACGATGGTGATGATGACGATGATGATGGGGGTGAGGGGAGTAATGTTGATATTGTTGGTGGTAATGATGAATCTTTTACAATATTGGATTCATCATTTGTATTATTATCGTTAGCAGTGGTGGTAGTGGCGGCAGTGATAGTAGAATTGGGATTTGAAGAAATAAACGATTGTTTTTGTTGAATTGAATTGGATAACGGTGGCGGCAATGGCGGCAATGGTGGTGATGGTAATCTTTTTGTTTGAATATGATTATTATTAATCATTGATTTACTGCCAACATTTGAATTAACAGTGCTACTATTACTACTGCTAGGAACAAATTTAGATTCTTTGCTAACAAATGCAGTTTCGTCTTCAGTTCCAGCAACACTAACCACACTAACACCATCATCAACCACTTCCCAATGATCATGATCTTCCGGTCCATTATGATTATAATTTACATCAAAGTTTTGACTGGAATCTTTTAAAGTTCCATTCAACACATCTCTCATATATTTTAATCGGTCTAATATGGGGGTAAGTGTGACAATTCCGTTTGATGGCGATGGCGATGAGGATGAGGAGGAAGAAGAGGAAGAGTCTTCATTGCTGTTTCCTGAAATATATTCAAATGAAGAACGCGACGTTGAATCATCTGAATTTTTATAAATTTTTTCTACATCTACTATTGTACTACTACTGCTAGTATTATGATCATTACTATTGTTAATGTTGTTATCATTATCATCATTATCGTCGTCGACATTATTCTTATTCTTATTATCAGTGTTTGTGTTATTTTCTTTTAATTTCATTCTTGCCATAAATCCTTCAAGAATCTCAATACTTTGATTAACCACTATACTAAAATTATGATTCTGTTCACGTAATTTTGATAGTTCCGAATGTGTTTCTGATTGTAGAGGATCAGCAGTTGGTGGTGGTGGTAATTGTGATGATGATGGTGGTGGTGGTGGTGGTGGTGCTGCTGTATTTGTATGATTTCGGTTTGTATATGATGAGGGAATTTGCGAAAAATCTGGTGTATTAGCACGTTTTCTACCATCATAATTTTGTTGTATATCAGAACGACGTAAAACATTTTTCTATGATACATATATTAATAATATGATATTATTGTATTTTTATATGAATAAATCATAGATAGATAAATAGATTAATTAGCATACCTTTACTTCACCTACAGCAGTTAAAATAGCTTTATTCAAAACAGCAGCACTACGGCTTTCCAAAACATTTTTAGTAACATGAACAAATCCATCTGGAACAATACTTTCACTTCGACTATGTTCATATACTTGATATGGTGCTGGTAAAGGCTTACCAACTCTTAATGCATTCTCTGAAATGATGTAAGCACCACCTTCAGGTGATAAATGATCACGAAGATGAATTGCTTGAGGCACTAATAATTGTACATCATCTATTGGTGGATATGTCATCAACATACTCAAACATCCT